CTAATCCATATAAGGTAGCCCCTTCCAGGACAAAGGATTTTTCATACACATTGTCTCATGCAATTGTCATGGAATTATGCTGAGGCGAGTTGCCAGGCAATGTCATCACCTTCTTACTAATGAAAAAACTGGGGTGGTTTCAAAGCTTGCCCAAGGTGATTTAACTCCTAGCTATTCAGGCGTTCTCCACACACATCCCAGCTCTGCGCTCTCTGTGGTACAGTGAACGCAAATCGTGGATTCAGACTGGAATACAGGCTCTGCCCAGGAAGCATCAGAGCCCGCTCCCACTCCCAACATCACCTGCTTCCCTCCCTTCCCCACGCCTGCTAACAACATCATTAATCACAAGAAAACCCTAAACAAAGGAAGAATTTGACAAGCAAAATCAATCAACCTTTGAGGTCCACAGGCAGATCTATCCCACACTAATGAATTCTAAAATGTAAAATGCTTCCCAGTGTATGCCACTGAAGAGTGAAGTGAGATCAATCATTATTTCCTAGGCGGTTTTTGAGCTGGGCAACCTGGGAGTCACAGAGGTGAGCAAGAACTTGGGGTGGGTGGGAGAGAGATATTAAGGAACCAAAAGAAAAAACTCAGAGGCAGGAAAATGCAATGGAAAGGCCCAGCACCAGTACAGCTGGGAGATGTGGGGGAAAGAGCAGAGCTGGGGAAAGGTCGTTTTGGAGTCACCTTCAAAAGTAAGGTGGCCCATGCAGCCTTGACAAGGCTTTATTCTAGGGAGTGAGAGGGCCCGTGGAAGGTGTCTGCAAAAGAAAGAAATCTGATCTGCACAGCCTCATCTGACAGGGGGAAGAGTGTGAGTAGCAGGGAAGGTGAGATCCTAGGAGGGAGACTGTTCAAAAGTCACCCTGGAAACAGCATCTGTTTGTCACAGTTTCTTCACCGGGAACACCAAGTGGTTCCACCTTATTACCTCCACCATCACACTCAGCAACAACACTCAGTGCGTGAATCTAACCACAGCAAGAAGAAACACAGGTCTGGGCCGAACGCGGTGGCTCACGCCTGCAATCCTAACACTTTGAGAGGCCAAGGCGGGCTGATTGCCTGAGGTCAGGAGTTTGACACCAGCCTAGCCAACATGGTGAAACCCCATCTGTACTTAAAATACAAAAATTAGCTGGGCATGGTGGTGTGCGCCTGTAGTCCCAGCTACTTGGGAGGCTGAGGCAGGAGAATCTCTTGAACCCGGGAGGCAGAGGTTGCAGTGAGCCAAGATCACGCCACTGCACTCCAGCCTGGGCGACAGAGTGAGATTCTGTACCAAAAAAATAAATAAATAAATAAATAAATAATAGAAAAAAGAAATACTGGCCTGAATTGGGGTGGTGGCAGCTAGAAAAATGTGCTTAAAATGAAGGCAGGGTGGGGCTGCCATTCTTTTGTCTAGAAAATGAAGGGAAAAAAAGTAAATAAAAGCCTGGGCTGGTTCCCATAGGATAAGAATGCTGTAGTTCCCCAGATGTTTATTTTAGAGACTCCGCCTCAATCCACAATGTACTTTTTATAGTAAATAATGAAAGTTACCAGGATAAAAGCCTTGTTATTTTTATATTCAAGCGTCATCCTTACTTGTTAGGGACAATGGTCTCATTTTTACCCCATTACTATTGACTCTATAATTAGGCTTTAAAGTTATATTTACGTTTGAATAAAACAAAGTCATAGGAGCATTGTAATTGACAGCTACCTGGAAGCAAACCCTCCAGGGTAAAATAAGTCTGTCAAGCTGAATTCATTTTAATGTTAGAAGAGTCACCAAGCTATTAATACAAGGATTGCACTCCCGAAAGACATACGAATCATCATAGCTTTCTGGAACAAAATATAAACTTTGAAACTTTTGATCTACAGAGAGACAACTTATATTCCTCATCCAGACTCACTGGGAATGGCTTGTTTGAATGAAAAGGCAGTAGAAGAGGCAGATAAGTAAATAGAAATAATAAACACATAAAATGATACAATAAAAGATTACTCTTACTAGTAATCAAAGAATGGCAAGTTGATGAAAACATAGACACCATTTTATGCCTATTCAGTTGACGCTATTCAATATTTTCTTTTTCTTTTCTTTTTTTTTTTTTTTGAGAAAGAGTCTTGCTCTGTCGCCCAGGCTGGAGTGCAATGGCACGATCTCAGCTAACTGCAAGCTCCGCCTCCCAGGTTCACGCCATTCTCCTGCCTCAGCCTCCCAAGTAGCTGGGACTACAGGCGCCCGCCACCACACCCGGCTAATTTTTGTATTTTTAGTAGAGACGGGGTTTCACCATGTTAGCCAGGATGGTCTCGATCTCCTGACCTTGTGATCTGCCCGCCTCAGCCTCCCAAAGTGCTGGGATTACAGGCATGAGCCACCATGCCCAGCTACTATTCAATATTTTCAATGTCAGCAGTGGAGATGAATGAATCCTCACCCACCTTGCTACTGACCTTGAAATTAATATATACATTACTGATGGCAACGCTTTATGTACCCAAAACACTAAAGATATATTTGAAGCAATCACCTCATTTACAGAGCCTTTTCCAACAGGAACACTTCAATAAAAGGACTCTTACTCAAACTTTTTTTTTTTTGAGACAGAGTCTTGCTCTGTCACCCAGGCTGTAGTGCAGTGGGGAGATCTCGGCTCACTGCAACCTCCGCCTCCCAGGCTCAAGCAATTCTCTTGCCTCAGCCTCCCAAGTAGCTGGGATTATAGGCATGCACCACCATGCTTGACTAGTTTTTGTATTTATAGTAGAGACAGTGTTTCTCCATGTTGACAAGGCTGGTCTTAAACTCCTGACCTCAGGTGATCTGCCCACCTCAGCCTCCCAAAATGCTGGGATTACAGGGCTGAGCCACTGCACCTGGCCACAAATTTTTTGATTGGCATCATTGGTTATAAAAAGCAGAAATGGAAACCACATGAGTGTCCAACAAGATCTCATGGTTTTACAATTTTTTTTTTTTCTGATGCAGGGCCTTGCACTGTCACCCAGGCTGGAGTTCAGTGGCGTGATCATGGCTCACTGCAGCCTCAACCTCCTGGGCTTCAGCGATCCTCCCACTTCAGTCTCCCCAAGTAGCTGGGACCACAGGCACATGACACCACAACTGGCTAATATTTTGGGAAAATTTTTGTAAAGACGAGGTTTCACTGCATTGCCCGGGCTGATCCCAAATTCCTGGCCTCAAGCAATCCTCCCACCTCAGCCTCCCAAGGTGTTGGGATTATATGCATGAGCCATGACACCTGACCTACAAATTTTTATGTGTTAGTGTGGCTATTAAAAATAACAGCTATTTGTAATAACACTATGAGATCAAACACAGGAAATGTTTTACAGTATTAACCGTGGGGGTGAGGCAGAAATCAGAATTGTGTTCTATAACTGCAGCTTTGTAAATAATACGTTTGTTTTTAGAGCTAACATTTGCACTGAAAGATACATAATTCTCTGTGTGTTTTTCCTTCCAAAATAATCAGCAATTAATAATAGCTATCCACCCCCTATATCCAAACACTGCTGAGCAATTGCTCATATGCTGGGTACGTTTTGTGCAATTTTTACAGCACACACAAAAGGAAGGGCTTATCCTCATTTTGTGGGCTTAGAGAGGTTAGGTGACTTACTTCTCCAGGGTCACATATTGAGGTTTCTACCAGGTCTGTTTGTCCCCAGATCTCTTTTGATTTGTCCCAGTGCTGTTCAAAGGGGGTGAAAGTTGGATCAGTGCGATTAGGATTATGCCCACTGATGCTTTACTTTTTTTTTTTTTTTGAGACAGAGTCTCACTCTGATCACCCAGGCTGGAGTGCAGTGGTGCGATCTCTGCTCACTGCAACCTCCGCTCTCCCTGGTTCAGGCAATTCTCTCCTGGCCTCAGCCTCCTGAGTAGCTGGGATACAGGTGCACGTCACCACGCTCAGTTAATTTTTGTATTTTTAGTAAGAGACACGGGTTTAACTGTATTGTCCAGCCTGGTCTCAAACTCCTGACCTCAAGTGTTGCACCTGCCTTGACCTCCCAAAGTGCTGGGATTACAGGTGTGAGGCACTACCATGCCCGGCCACCGATATTGTCTTAATATCATTCTGTCTCTTTGTAAATGATTACTAAAACAAAAAATGGTAGCATGGAAGTGGGTTCATGGAACCCACTGTGCATGGTGCACGGAAGTGAGCTCAGAAGGGATGGTTTGCATGTCAAGGCAGAAGAGATGAAACTTGCCACATTTTGTCCCTTGTATTATATCTTTCCGATACGTTAGTAAACAGAAGATTCCATCTCCCTCCTAAGGATGGTGAGCTGCATGACATGTAGTCTGGGTCCACCTTTTCCTCCAAGAGCCCTTTCTGATCCTCAGCAAAGATCCCCAACCATTGCTTAGCACTAAGGACAATGGACCTTGAGTGCCCTGGAGAGGGGCCAGTGACAAAGACAGCTGGAGAGGGGCCAGTGACAAAGGCACTGACAAAGACAGTCAGTGGCCCTGGCTGGGTGCAGCGGCTCACACCTGTAATCCCAGCACTTTGGGAGGCCGAGATGGGTGGATCACCTCAGGTCAGGAGTTCAAGACCAGCCTGGCCAAACATGGTGAAACCCTATCTCTACTAAAAATACAAAAATTAGCTGGGCATGGCGACAGGCACCTGTAATCCTAGCTACATGGGAGGCTGAGGCAGGAGAATTGCTTGAACCTGGAAGGCGGAGGTTGCAGTGAGCTGAGATCGCACCACTGCACTCCAGTCTGGGTGACAAGAGCAAAACTCCGTCTCAAAAAAAAAGAAAGAAAAGTCAGTGGCTGTCCCTAGTGATCTGCATCCAAAGCTGAAAATGTTAATAGATGCTCTTAAAATTCCCACATGGCACCTTTTCATATGTAAATGTCTGAAATTTCCAAATATTTATATGTAAACACGTTCCAAAGCTTAAACAGACACTAAGGTGACTGGCTTATTAAGTATGATTAGGGCACTTACTTGGTATCTTTTCTAGATACTACCATGGTTTCCTGAACATCTAAGACTGGTCAACAGAGTCTTACTTCTCATTCCATCCGAAGGTTAACACCTTTACAAATTCTGGGTCTGAGATATTTAATCACTGTCTCTTGTGCTGTATTTCAAGTCAGGTTAGAGTTCTCAACTTAGATTACAAACTCTTCCAAGGCAGCAGAGTTCACATCCTAAGTTTTTGACCAAGATTCTACTACAAACATATGGTTAATATTTTATAGGTCCCTTGGAAATATTTGCATTTGGCTTGAAATATCTACAGAGCTTCCTACCAACAGTCAGCAATTCTACCTGTTCTGGCTTTCAGAGTCTGAACAGGTCAAATGAAAGGAGTGTGTCCAAGCTTCTCCTACAAATCTGATCAGTTTAAGGACCCATGGTAAGACTTCTGATGTAAGGCTTCTGAAACTTCCCAGGAAGTTTTCCTAGGATGACGGTGCGTGTGTTTACAGAGAGCTATGTGTTCTATGCATCAGGCTCTGCACTATGTATTCGCATTAGCTTAGTTTGTTTGTTGAGGATCGAATTATTAACCCCATTCTACAGATAAAGAAACCTAACTGAGTAGATTGCAAAAATTTTCTTCCATTCTGTAGGTGGCCTGTTCACTCTGATGGTAGTTTCTTTTGCTGTGCAGAAGCTCTTCAGTTTAATTAGATCCCATTTGTCTATTTTGGCTTTTGTTGCCGTTGCCTTTCAATCATCCATTGATCTCAAGTAGTACCAATTTATTAGGAACAAGAAATGTGACCATATTATTTGTTCTGAAATTACAAATAGTGTCTTATATAAAATCATTAATAGCCCAGAAACAAAGTCAAAAATCCGTGAGACTGTATTGCAAATTTCTAATATTAATCCTCAATAAAGATTTTTAGAAATCCAAAAAAAAAAAAAGAAACCTAACTGAGAGGTTAAGTTCTTTGCCCAAGGACATACAAGGGGTAACAGGAATAAAATCCCTTGGAGACATGCTGCCACAAGCCAAGGAACTCCCAGAAACTAGGAGAGAATCCTGAAACAGATCCTTCCCCAGCACCCTCACAGGGAAGATGGTCCTTTAAAACCTTGATCTTGAACTTCTGGGCTTCCAGATTTGTGATACAATAAACTTCTGTTCTTCAAGCTGCTCTGTGTGTGGTACCTTGTTACAGCAGCCCCAGCTAACTAATATATGGCTTTAATGTGTAGCTTTAACATTGCAGAGGGCTTTTCAAATTCCTTAATTCCAACAAACAGAGGCTTCACAGTCAGGTACTGCAAATTTGTTACTTGATGTCTTTAAATTCTGAATCCACCTTTGCCAACGACTCTGTGCACAAAAGGAAAAACTGTGGTTACCTTTCATAACAAGTTATATAAATAAGACCTAAATGACCATGTTTTCTTTTCTCTCTTCTAATTACCCAAAGGTTAAGCGTGCTGTTTTAAAGTTTAATTTAATTTGATTTAATTTTGCAGCTTACCCAGGTTTAAGAGTTATTTGCAGAGAATAACCAGAAGGAACTGCAACTGGTGTTTAATGCAAATAAGGCCAGGCTACTGAACTAGGGATGACTCATGCAGGCCTTGTGCAAACATCTATTCTGATTTGCATTTAAGAGAAAAGGTACACCTGTAAAAGTATCCAACATGTATTAAAACATCTTTGAAATGTTTTGGAGTTTTAAAGAAGTGCCCATTGAAGACGTTTTCTGCTCCACCTCTTAAAAAACACATGACCCCAGGAAAAATGCTAATGTATTCTAGAACGTTTTCTGCTGTGATATTTTCTCCTCCCAACCAATGTTTGCTTCCCCTTTAAAATCTCTGTGTACTTTCATGGGTGCAGTAGCACATGGTGATGAGGGCTTGGGTTTGATTGAGTAATGCTCACCCCATCTCCAGTCCCTGCCCCACAGAGGCAAGTAGTACAGAGAATATATATACATGATTCTGACATAAAATACAATGTAAAGCCAACCAAAATGTTTGCGTATTTTTTGCTTTTCCACATTCCCCCTTCTCCATAGACCTAGACGTCAATCAACCTGCATCTCCTATAAAGAGAAAATGACTTTCTCGAATGCAACTGGACTCCAGTGATAAAGAAAACAATCCTCTTTAACTTTATTGTTATCAAACTACTATTTATGACTTTTATCTTACTCAATTAATGCTATTATAAGCTCTTATATATTCAACATGTTACTAACCTGAAAACTTACCCCCAAATTAACCTGATTTAGGTGAAGACTCCCTATAGAACTCTGAGTTGAGTCAGGAAGATTGATCCATTATTTAGGAAACAGAGCTCACTGTCATTGTCCCCTGTAGGTCTGGGGAGAAAGCAAGCTCTGGCTGAATTGTCTAGGGGATTCTCTCCCTTCCAGCAAACTCATCTCCTTCCTACCCCACCTCCACTCTTGTGAGCAAACCCTCGGCTGTCCATCAATAAATCAATGCCAGGCATAAATTCCCAACAATAGCAAATCTAACTGGTCTGAACTCGATATTTTAACACATTGATCCTCCTGACTTCCCAGAGCTCTTTTTAAAAAGAAAGGAAAGAAAATGGAATTAGTGTAAGAATAGAGAGAAGAACATTAAGGATAAACTAGGGGTTTAGGGCCAGGGGCAGTGGCTCACACCTGTAATCTTAGCACTTTGGGAGGCCAAGTTGGGAGGATCACTTGAGGTCAGGAGTTTGAGACCAGCCTGGCCAACACAGTGAATCCCTATCTCTACTAAATACACAAAAATTTGCCAGGCGTGGTGGCGTGAGCCTGTAATCCCAGCTACTTGGGAGGCTGAAGTATGAAAATCCCTTGAACCTGCGAGGTGAAGGTTATGGTGAGCCAAGATCATGCCACTGCACTCCAGCCTGGGCAGCACAAATGAGACTCCGTCTCAAAAAAAAAAAAAAAAGAAAAAAAGACTGTGCTCTGGATTTATATGATGCCATCCTTTCAAATATTTCAGTGTTGTGACATAGGTTCTTTTGCAGTATTCATCAATGAAAAACTGGGCTACACTCAAGATCAAAAGCTGGTGTTTGGGCCACAAAACAGGTCACCTCCAAGTGCTCCTCAGCTAGGCCTGCCTCGCATGTCTGTTCCTAGGCTCGTTCTGGCTATGGCCCACCCATCCTCAAAGTCCAACCTATTCTTTTCCTCCTTCATCTTAAGAGATCTGTCTATAGTGAATTTGTGTCTTAGTTTTCCAAAGCTCAAACCTCACGTACAGAAACAATATTGCACTAACCATGACAGCTAACTTTGTGCATGTGTCACATGAGTATTTAAATATTATCAATGTTTGGCTTGGGCACGGTGGCTCATGCCTGTAATCTGAGCATTTTGGGAGGCCAAGGCGGGTGGAACCCGAGCACTTTGGGAGGCCAAGGCGGGTGGAACACTTGAGACCAGGACTTCGAGACCAGGCTGGCCAACGTGGTGAAACCCTGTCTCTACTAAAAATACAAAAAGTTTAGCCGGGCGTGGTGGCGCACATCTGCTGTAATCCCAGCTACTTGGGAGTCCGAGGCACAAGGATCGCTTGAGCCCAGGAGGCAGAGGTTGCAGTGAGGAGAGATTGTGCCTCCGCACTTCAGCCTGGGTGTGAGAGCAAAACGATCTCAAAAAATAAAATAGAATAAGAAAATAAATATTATCAATGCCTGTTAGGGTTTAAACATTAGTAATTTAGGCTATCAATAAGGAATTTTGGGTTGTGCCTGTGGCTCACACCTGTAACCCAGCACTTTGGGAGGCCAAAGCAGGAGGATCCCATGAGCTTAGAAGACCAGGCTGGGCAGTATGGTGAAACCACAGCTCTACAAAAAAAATGTAAAAATTAGCAGGGCACGGTGGTGTAGCTGTAGTCCCAATTACTTGGGCGGCTGAGGGAGGAGTATCACTTGATCCAAGGTGGCAGAGCTTTCAGTGAGCCAAGATACTGTCTCAAAAAAATAAAAAAGGGAATGTAGTTTGCTGTCTGGGCCAAACACAAAATACAATTACACTCACCATATTCTGAAATCAGAATCAAGGTCTCTCAAGAAACAGCTTCCATAAGTCAAATGGGGATCTGCAAGGCTTTCAAATTATCTTCAAAATCTATTTGATAGACATTTCTGTTGTGCTTCATTATGGAAATTACTAGATTTTCATACACGCGTTAGAACTTGGAGAGGCTCTATCTGCTCTGGCCCTGCCCATTGCAGGCCCCACCCTAGCTCCAGCCACCTTCTGCCCCCTCACAAGTACACTCACAAGGGCAGCTAGGCACCTTCATTCCCTTTCCAGGTCCTCAAATCCCAATGTAACGGCTTTATCATTTGTACTTTAACAACTTATTGCCTGAACCATTCTTTGCATTATGGCTTGTACTGTGGTTGTTTTTCTTTCTAACAGGGTAAAAATCCAAAGGTGCAGGCAAGGCATGGTGGCTCATGCCTATAATCCCAGCACTTTGGAGGGCCGAGGTGGGCAGATTGCTTGAACTCAGGAGTTCAAGACCAGCCTGGGCAACATGGCGAAACCCCATCTCTACAAAAAAATACAAAAATTAGCTGGGAGTTATGGCGCACACCTGTGGTCCCAGCTACTTGGGAGGCTGAGGTGGGAGGATTGTTTGACCCCAGGGGGCAGAGGTTGCAGTGAGCCATGATTGCACCATTACACTCCACCCTGGGCAACAGAGTGAGACCCTGTCTCAAATAATAATAATAATAATGATAATCTAAAGGTGCAAGACCATTGACTATTCCTCTTATTTCTCAAGTGGGGCAGAATCAAGAGATGGTTAAAGGCTCCTGTCTGAGGATAGACAGACAGGGGATGAAATCCCAGCTCTAAGGCCTACCACCTGCAGAAGCTTGGGAAAAATATTCTTACTAAGCTCCCACTTCTCCATTTATAACATGAAGATAATGGTTACCTTACAGGGTCCTCGTGAAGCTTAATCTTGATCCCATGTAAAGCCCTTAGCAGTGGGCACAGTATGTGGCCCCTGATATCCACTTAGTGAGGCATTCCAGTGATGCGTTTCATCAGAAATTCCGTAAGACACATAGATATAATTCATAATATTTCCTCCTTCAATAAAACTTAGTTTATTATTAACTATTATAAACCTGAAACATCAGGGAACTTAAGTTTTCAAGTGAAAAACAGAGTGGGAAAACAATAAAAACCTTTATAATTGCACTTCACAGCTTGCAAAAGCTTTTCACATACCATTAACATATTATCTATAAAACATCGTTGAAAAGTAGATTATTTTCATTTTATTCTCTGCAATAGCTCCATTGTCCAAAACAGCATGTAACACACAGTAGACCTTTCATAAAGAACTACCAAATGTAGAATCGAGCTCAGAGTTCAAGACTGTATCCAGATTCTCAGAAATGATAAGATATAGAGGAACCAGAACCAGATCTTTGCATCTGAATCCAAATCCTGCATCCTTTCCCCTCAATCACACTGTCTCCTGCCCCCAGGGTAAGGTTTCACAGAACTGTAATTATTTAAGACGTTCTATATTTTCTAGATGACAATAACTTCAAGATAAGTGGAGTGCTTAAAAAACCCCGATTAAACAACAACAAAAAAAGATCACTCTTGTGTCAACAAGGGAAGAGATAGCCAGTAATATAACTACTTTGATACACATTTTTGCTTTCCTCAAAGTACACTCAGCAAACCACCTTGATCATGGTATGAACAAGTGAAACAAACCAAACTTCAAAACCAGGTTGAATGGAAAGATGCATTGGTTGAACTTGCTTGGAAATAATATGAAGAGAGAGGAAGTGGACAGATCTATAGATAAAAACAACATTGGCCTTTGCCATGAACAAGGGGGTTCATTTTCCTATTTCTACATACATTTGAAATCTTTCTAAATCAAAACAACGCCAATAACAACAACAACAAAAACTCTCCTTCAAATAAACCAGCGTATTAACATTAGGTCACCATTGTGTAAGGTACCTGTGTACTAATCACTAACACAGCCTCTGACGGGAACACATGCTTTGTGTAGCCATTGGCTCCATCTTGAAAACTCAGATATTAAATAATTTTTTCATAGACAGTTAGGAGGAGATTATTTTAAAAAATGAAATATAGGCCGGGCACAGTGGCTCATGCCTGTAATCCCAGTGCTTTGGGAGGCTGAAGCAGATGGATCACCTAAGGTCAGGAGTTCATGACCAGCTTGGTCAACATGGTGAAATCCCATCTCTACTAAAAATACAAAAATTAGCTGGTTGTAGTGGCACACTCCTGTAATCCCAGCTACTCGGGAGGCTGAGGTAGGAGAATTGCTTGAACCTGGGAGGCGGAGGTTTCAGTGAGCCAAGATCACACCACTACACATCACCCTGGGCTACAGACAGAACAAGACTCTGTCTCAAAAAAAAAAAAAAAAAAAAAAAAAAAAAAAGAGATACACCTGAATATCTAATAAAATGAAAATGTTATAGAAAACCATGTTTTATGAGTTGGGGCCACTGCATTTGCACTGGACTTGAGGAGGCATATTTGCTCTTTGGTTAAACAGGAATATTTAGCATTTACTTGTTTTTTTGGTGCATTACAATTTTTTTCTTTTAAGAATCAGTTTCGGCCTGGCACAGTGGCTCACGCCTGTAATCCTAGCACTTCAGGAACCTGAGGCAGGTGGATCACTTGAAGTCAAGAGTTTGAGACCAGCCTGGCCAACATGGTAAAACCCTGTCTCCACTAAAAATGCAAAACTTAGCCAGGCATGGTGGCACACGCCTGTAATCCCAGCTACTCAGGAGGCTGAGGCAGGAGAATTGCTTGAACCCTGGAGGGGGAGGTTGCAGTATGCCAAGATCGCACCACTGCACTCCCGCCTGGGTGACAGAGTGAGACTCTGTTTCAAAAAAAAAAAAAAAAAAAAAAAAAAGATTATGAAGTAATATTGCTGTTCCTCAGTTTATCATCTGTAAAATGAATAAAAACAATAGCAGCTGCCTTTTACAGCTGCTGTGAGGATAAAATGATTCAATATATGGAAAGCTCTGGAATAGGGCTTGATCCAAAGGAAGTCTTAGTAAATATTAGCTGTTGTTATTCTTATGTGAGAGAACTAAATACTAGGAGAAGAAACACATCACCAAATTGACACTTCAGGGACAGCTGAGAAGTTACTACAGCCCACGCCGGGGCTCAAATTTACTTTCGTGTGTTGAATCATTAATAGCAAGGGAAATACCTAACTCGTAACCTACTGTGCTCAGGCCACAGGAAAATGTCACCCTAGTAGTGAGAGAGACATTAAATATTTTACTCTACCAGCTGCTCAGAACAAAGCAGCCTGGGGTGTATCCATTACTGCCTCTTTCAGATCTCCTGAAACATGTTACAAACCCCAAACTCTGGAATTTCGAATATAACATGAACAAAGCATCTTAGAGTTGGTATCTTTGCATAGTGAGTAAATGTGGGATTTTTCAGAATGATAAAGTGTTTTTGTTTATGGTGTTTGTTTTTTTGAGAAATAGAAATTGTCTTTATATCTGACACCTCTGCCACAATATCCAGTGTATATCTTGCCAGTAAGAGACACATTACACCGGCCAGCCTAAAATAGTCTCAGGTTGTTTACCAACAATGTGTAATTGTGCATTGGAGAACCCAGAGCTGAGCGTATTCAT